AGATGTAATTCTGTCAGTACCTTCGACTTTTTACATAACTTCCACGTCTTTTTATTAACGACAACGTACCACTGCTGACCGAGGCAACTATACTTCATGCTCGTTGCCAGGCAACGTAGTTACTTCGTGCATATCAAAAACAAACTCCATCGATCGTTGATTTCAATAAACGAACCCGATCTCGTTTTCCATAACTATACAGGCAAGAAATGGCACCACTTATTTGGTATAACGCACCGTTTTTTCGGTAATCGTTTTCATTTCAGCAAAGCTACATTGCACGAATAATAATTAAATGTAATGCTACAGTGGAGTAAAGATTTCGGCCTCGTCTACGCTAATACGTTTTCGTACACTTTCTGACGAGTTTTCGCCCACCGTCTACACTAAAACGATCAAATACGCGTATTGCTTTCATCGAAAAGGCAAGATACATTTGAAAACGCTGTCACAGATGAAGGTATTTGAAAACGGATCTCTGTCCTTTATATGTAGTTGGTGTACAGAGAAAACGAAGGCTTTAGCAGAGTGGACGGAGAAGATGTTTTGAAAACTGTCCCGGTGGGGAAGAGGAGAGTTTTTTGGCAAAGACGCATCATCGAAAACGCATCGTTTCAAAAATGATTTTTTTTTTTTCCTATAACTCAAGTTGCTTAGGCATCAATCCTCTAATGAGAGTGACCTGATTGGTTTTCCTTTTCCACTCAGCAGATTTCAACGTTTAAACACAGAGAGAAAAAAAAAACTAAAAAAGTAGCGTCTTAATTTTCAAGGTTTTATATAATTTTTCCATATGTCTTCTTCAGGGAACAAAAAAGTCTTAACAGTATAGCATATTATTTATAAGTGCGTCAAATTGCAGTTTTAAACTGGAATTAAAAGTAGTTTAGGGAGAGTAAGAGATATTGAATCTTGTAATTCTACCAGAAATCATTTAAAACAATCCTCGATATTTTGCGGTTGCTTCTCACCTTAATAAAAACTTCAGGCACTCTTTGTTGTATGCAGGCTTCGATCCTCTTGGCCGTCAGTTAGTTATAAGCAGGAGAAAATTAAACCTTGCTCGTTAACTCAAATCGAACCACAAGGATCGAAGACTGACTGAACCGATGAAATATCTGCCAAAATGTATCCAAACCGTCTTGCTTGTGCAAACAATATCGTTCTCTTCGTTTTAGAACGGTACTTTAAAAAGTTAATAAACGGACTACAGTATTGACGATGACTTATTAAAGGCCTTTATTAAAATCGATTTATTTGGTTTGATACTTGGTTCAACTTTGCAATCACAGGATATTTTTAAGTGTGGTAAAAGCTTATGTTAACAAAGCTTTACAAATCTGAGTTTTATTAAGTAAAAGTGATTAAAGCAGTCAGATAAAAGGATGTAACATATCATTTTATTTCCGCGGCATATTCTTTGATGGCTCTTTTTAACATGGGAAGTTTCGCTCTTGCTTTCATTTTTATGGTATCGCGATCTAAATTAATTTATTTTGCAGGAGATCGAACGGCAATAAAACGTGTTGTGATAAGAAAATGATAATTTTTTCAAT